TATTTACTTACTTAACTTACTTATTTACTTACTTAACTTACTTATTTTTTTACTTTACTGTTTTTGGTCTGTGGGAGGAATCCGGAGTACCCGGAGAAAACCCACGCAGCACGGAGAGAACATGCAAACTCCACACAGAAAGACTCCCTGTCCTGGATTTGAACCGGTGACCTTCTCACTGAGAGGCAACAGCTCCACCAACTGCACCACCGTGCCGCCTCCACTACAATATTTTGCATCAAAAACTTTTGGGTTTACTTTCATTCTCTGTTCAGGTCCAGTTCAGAGAAACACTCGTCTCCAAAACTACAAACATTCACTTTTTAAATCCGTCAGCGACGCGGGGACGTCGGCCTACCGCTTGTGTTAGTGAACATGTTGTTTTTTTATTGAGAAACTTCTGTCCGTCTTCTGTGACAGCTCAGGAGTTTTCAGCAAAATGTTTAAGTTTCATAAAGTGCAGAAAATGTGAGCAGACGTAGAGGGTAATAAAGTTACCCCTCTGGTTTGACCCAAACCTCTGCAGCTCTGTCGTTTCTCACCACGAGCTCATTTTAGACCAAACGTTCTGACCGGCTCGTTGTTTTGGTGTAAGGTCGTCTACATGGGGGTCTGCGTGTACACGCCGGCGTTTGCACTTAATGCAGGTACGAACATTTTTACATTTTAAATTAATGTTTGCTCTTAAACCTGCGGCAGGTAATGTTTTTGTATTTTTAGTTACAGGATTTGAATTATGGGGTACAGTGCTGGTCACGGGACTGGTGTGCACGTTGTACACGACGATGGTGAGTTGCAGATCGTTTTCACCATTTCAGTGTCGGTACCTCACAGCAGGGGGCTTATTAAATGTATTTATTTATGCAGTCAACTCATTCTGAACCATTGGATGGATTTTAAATAAACTTTCAGGAAATGTTCTTTGGACGTCCTTCTATAATGAATTAACCTTTGACGTTAATCTAATTCAAGATGGCCGTCATAGCCAGCTCGTCTTGGGAAACGAAGTCTTTTGTAACTGAGTAAGTGTTATGGAAGAGGATTAGAGCCATCTAGCAGTTTTTTTCTTCTTCCATGAATTCTGACTTTAATCTCAGAATTTCCAGATTCAGTTCCAGTGAAACTGTCAGAAAGTAAAACGTCCATCAGTAAATTAACGCTTGTTGCCATGACAATTCAAAATGGCCGCCAAGGTAAAAACATCTATATTTCAGTCAGTGTGTCAGCCGTAAGGTTTGACCATTAAATAAGTGAAACTGTGTCGTTGAAGCTGGATGCATTCCTTTAATGGACGTTGTTCTCAGGGCGGATTGAAGGCCGTCATCTGGACCGACGTCTTTCAGACGCTTGTGATGTTCGCGGGCCAGCTGGCCGTCATCGTGGTGGGAGTGCAGAGGGTTGGAGGAGTGTCAGAAGTCTGGAGGAAGGTGGTGGAGGGAAACCACATCTCTGGTCTGGAGTGAGTCAACACAAGGTCAAGGTCAAACAAGGTCTTTGTTTGTCTGGGCCAGAACTTCTGATCTCCTCAAGCTAATTTAATGAAACTTGATGCACGTTCATAGTCGTACCACCGTTAGATGGAACGTCATATATTTTCATCACCCCAACTTTAATGTCAAGGTCACAAATCAAGGTCAGGCCAGGCCGTTGCTATAGATTTCTGTATAATAGTTTGACGGACGTATAATGTGCTTATTAACTATTAGCTAGCTCATTACCTTTTAGCTAGTCTTTTGCTTCTTTTAGCCTTTAGCTAGCTCTGTGCTCCTTTTGGCTTTTTGCTGGTGTTTTGATGTTTTAAGCTTCTAGTTTGTGCTTGCTTCTTTTTCAGTTTCAGCTTTTTTATGTTTACGTTTTTTGCAAATTTCAGCAGCCATTCAGCGTTTAGCATTCACACTACTTTTTACAGAAAATGCTGTTTTCTTTAGTTTATATTTTGGTTGTAAAAGAGTTAAAACAAGGTGCAGATCTGCAGATAAATTATTAAATTTACTAGAACATTAGCTGCTCACCTTGAAAACTGTTTTTCGCGAGCGCTACAGACAGTTTTGTTCTCACATTTTGTGCCTTTGCATGGTTTCATGGTTTCTTTCAGCCCGTTCCTGAACAAGACTCTGAATAAGTAATTCCTCTCTCCTGGTTTTCAGTCTGAACCCAGATCCCACAGAGAGACACACGTTCTGGACTCTCGGGGTTGGTGGCGTTTTCCTCATGCTGTCTCTGTACGGAGTGAACCAGGCCCAGGTCCAGCGCTACCTGAGCTCACGCACAGAAAGAGACGCTGTCAGGTCTGAGAGCTTCACGGGTTTTATAACTGAAGCAGCATCTAACATTAGCTGATCTTTACCTGAGAGGAGCAGATCTTTATTGAGCACATGCGTGGTTTGTGCACCCGACATGTTTTGTACGGCTGTTCTGTCTGTAAGAGCATGCTCTGCTGGTGTGTGCAGGTCGTGCTACATGGTGTTCCCCTCCCTGCAGCTGGCCCTGGCTCTGAGCTGCATCATGGGGCTCGTCATGTTCGCTCGCTACTGTGGAGAGGACCACTCTGACAAACTGACCAACTCCTCCAGAGACGCAGTAAGTCGCATCAGATTACAATTTTGGTGTAGGTGGGACACATCTGAAGCATTTTTAACTTTAAACCCGTGTTCAAAAACACAACTCCCGTAAACACAGAGTCACTGAGGCTTGGAGAATTTAGAGACTTGTTTCGTAAAGAGTTGATGTGAAGAAACGAGCCGCAGTCTTCCTCTGAACGGCTCTGGCTGCGAGGAACTCCTGCACGGTGAGGATGAAGTGCTGTTAACTGCTCATAACGAGACTCTTGTGTTGAAACCACTTGATTGGCAACAGGTGGGTAAGAGGACCGGGCATAAAAAGAGCGTTTCAGACGCAGTCGTTATTTTCTTGGGGTATTAAAGGCCTGAAAGTGGCCTTGAAAATGAGCATTTGTCTTCACACAGACGCTTCTCTCCTCCACACACTTTTATAATAGAAACTCTCACAAACCTTATGATCTAATACTTTTCACATTAAAACATCATTCGTTTGAAAACGTGCTCGACAAACTACTAATGTGGCGATAAACTATAAACAAGTGCTAACAAACCCTTTTCCCTCCTCACCTAACCTCATTTCCTCTACAGGTCCGTTCACACAGATGTCGTATTGTCAGTTTGATGCTGCAGTTTTTACGACTAAATGATGTATGCAAATGGAACTGTGCAAGCTCGGAACGTGTGATGGTTGTTTTGCTTTGCACAGATGGTCGTATACTTCGTGATGGACATGCTGCAAGGCCTCCCTGGGCTGCCTGGACTCTTTGTAGCTTGTTTGTTCAGCGCTTCTCTCAGGTACGGGACTTTCCTGTAACGTCAGTAGACCATCATAATCTGGCACCGCAGCAGTGCAGCTACTGTCCTTCTCTTTAGGGCTGACTAGCCATTCGGCCTACAGGTGCACGCAGTTAACTGCTTGTTGGGAAGCATTAATAAAAATAAAAAACTCCCCCACCACATAAACACAACAGTTTTCCAATGTAACTGCAACAGGGCGGTCAGTGTGCAGGACTTCAGTTGAACACACGGTCATTTATTCAAAAGTTGAAAATAGCCATGCACACACAGAGTATTTAAGGAATGCATGTCGCCCGCCGCCTGTCATAATTTCAGAACAAGCCGATGTTATATTGATAAATGACTAAGCTGTTACCGATAAGATGCACAATTTCACTGTGTATGAATTGTTGGAATGCGTTTTGTGAATGATTATCAGCTGCTGCCACGGCAACATTTAACCAAGTGTCTGTAAAATCTGTTGACTTTTAGCCATTTTTGTATTTTCTAAGGTTGATTAGCTGTGGCGGCCATCTTCCGTTGGTTTTCTCCAAAGCTTGTGTCGTGGAAGAAAGAGATTCCCAAAACAACCAGGTGTAGGCGTCATCAGATTTATTTACAAAGTCTTCCAGCAGAAGATCCAGTGTTTCCCCTACTGTTATCCAAGGAGGGGGCCCCGCCCTGTCAACAGAACTGAGCACCCCGCCTACCTATGACCTATGAAATGTCCTTCGCCCCCACCCATCAAGAATCGCCAGCACTGACGTAGTGCTAAGTTAGTGGTGCACAATACAGACGTGTTGGCTAAGAACACGACAAGTTACCGAGGGGAAACTGATTTACAAGTACAAACATTAATGTTTTCACCTGTCAGGGTCTGACCCGTTCTAAGCTTCCCAACTTTTTTAGCTTTTAGCTCGTCTGTTGCTACTGTAGCTGAATGGGAAAAATCATCTTTATTTTCCTCAATCACTCCTGCTACATTTATTTTTGGCTAGTCTTTTTGCTACTTTTACTTTGGCGAGTGGTTTGCTTCTTTTGGCTTGTAGCTAGCGTTTTCCTACATTTTGTTCCTTTTAGCTTTTAGCTAGTGTTGTAGTTCTTTTACTTTAACGACTCAGTTTTATTTTTTTCAACAAATTTGGGAGCTTTAGCAAACTGTCTCTTGAACAACTTTTAAAATAAGTTATTCAAGATGGCTGCCACAGCTAATTGACACGAGCCAACGTTAAATCGGCTATAATTCAGTCATTTGTACAGATTTTGAGTTAAAATCTGATGTGGTAGCTGGATCTGGGTCTTTTCAACACTGCTGCTGGTGTCGGCGAGCAGAACCTTTATTTAAGATAAATATAAGATTGAATAAGACGACGTTATGTGCACGGTTTTGGCCTTTTCCATCCAGCACCATTTCCTCTGCCTTCAACTCTTTGGCTACTGTGACGATGGAAGATCTCATCAAACCACATTTCCCCTCCATGTCTGAGGAGCGGGCCACCCTGGTGTCCAAAGCTTTAGGTGAGCTGTTGAACTCAACAGGGTTCCGATACGGAGCTGCCGGTTCTGATCTTTGGCTTCGTGTCTTCATCGTCAGCTCTGTCCTACGGGCTGCTCTGCCTGGCCATGGCTTACCTCACTCACCTCATGGGGGATTCAGTTTTACAGGTGAGCTCACCTGGTGTTCAACCAAATTATAATCCACAGTCAGCTCTAAATGTGGAATAATTTATTCTGACTTCAGGTGGCTTTGAAAATCTTCGGGATGGTTGGCGGTCCAATTCTTGGTCTGTTTTGTCTCGGGATGTTCTTTCCATGTGCCAACTCCACAGTAAGTTGAGCCGCAGCCTCCTCCCTGCAGTCCAAAGGGATATTTCATACGTTGAGATTTCTTCAACGAGACAAAGAAAATGTTTTGCTTTAATAAAAGTTTTAAAACTTGGTTAAGATGAGACAAGACAGGACTTTACGGCTCCTGCAGGATAATTTATTTACAAAGTGTGCAGCTTTTCCCACTGTCTGGGCTTCTCAAATAACTTTTTCAAAGCTTCTTGTAATAGTTTAAATCACCCTTTATTTTATTTTTAAAATTTTATTATTCTTGGTTTTCAATTGGTTGCAACTTTTGTGAATGAATGTTCAATAAACGATTCTATAAAAGATCAAATATGAAAAAAAAACGACAGTTTCTGGATCGATTCTGTTTGTCAAAGTCCATAATTTATTATTTTCAAACATAAAAACCCTCATAGAGAAGGTCAAAATGTGATTACAGTAATAAAACACACAAAGCTTGACACTGAAAGGGTGTTTTTGCCTTTATATAACTTTATGTTCATAAGCGTGATATTTAAAAACTAGCTCGGGTACTTCTTTGTACAATAACTCAAATATTACCATTTGGCAGACTGATAGATTTCTGCTTTAAAATGACTTTATTTCCTCTCAGAGGTATATATTGGAAATATTTCATCTAATTTAGTCATTTGATACAATACATTTTTCATATTTGACAATTTATTGCATTACACTTTGTACAGTACAGATCCTCACAGTCTGGTCATTTTCACAAGCTTACAAAATATACTCTTTCTGGAGACCTCCCTCCAAAAGTGTACAAAAAAGTGTTAAAATCTATTTCATTATAAATCTGAGACATAAAACACTGTTATGAATATTGTAACAACTCAGACAGCTAAAATCACAAATCTTGAGTGACGTCATCCTTTAGTACTGACGCACACTTTCACCCTCAACAGGAAGTACTTCCCCCTTATTCATGCAGGGAACAACCTCTGGCTCGTGGTGTCAGTTTACAGCCAACGAGAGAGAATTTAACATAAATATTAAAGCAAACCTGAACAGGACATTAACAAGAACATGTCCACACTTAGAAATATCTTAAACAGAAACATAATAGGCTACCCAGCATCCTTTGCAGCTCACACCATCTTTCTGGGAGGCTACAATACTTGAGCAAGGTAAAACGATCATGGCCACCCGGGCTCCACCACTGCACTGGTGGTGGATAAGATGAGATTGCTCCTCAGCTCACCAGGATCCATCACTGCGCTGTCGTGGGCAAGAACAAAAAATCTTTATTTGAAAACTACAAACATTTGCAATTCAAAACCCTCAGCGACGGGAGACATCGGCGTACCGCTTGTTTTTAATCTTGTCCTGAAACATAAATCCTTGGAAGGCAGTGAGGGTGTACTTTATTTTTTCATTACTGCATGTAATTTAAACTTACTTGATAAGTCACAGTACTGATATATGATCTAAGGTCAATAAAATCATTTCACGTTGAAAGTTAAACTTTAACGACAGATGAGAACAACTTGCTTTACGTACAGATATTTCTGTTTCCTTTGTTTTTAGGGTGCAGTGACAGGTCTGGGTGCAGGACTGTTCATGGCTTTGTGGGTCGGCATCGGTAGCATCGTCACTCGTAGTTCTAATGCCAAACCGCTGCCCCCCAGCTGTCGATTTGTCCTGCCGTCGGAGAACACGACGGCCGCCTTACAGACGGCGTTTAGCAACGTGACGAGGTGAGAGTCCTTCCATCAGCTGTAGATGTGGTCAGCTCTGAGCTTTCTCCCAGATGAACCGTCTCTCTGTTGTTTAGCCGACCCTCGGGGCTGACGAGGTTCTACTCCTTGTCCTACATGTGGTACAGCGCCTTCAGCTGCTTCACAGTCATCCTCGTAGGGCTGATCGTCAGTTTTCCCACGGGTAAGCAGGAACCTACGCCTGTTGTCAGTAATCCAAACCGTTTCTTTACGTTATGCTTAAACTTGTTTTTCATCAAGGTCCAATGAAAGAAGAGGATGTGACGCCAGGAACGATCTATCCTTTATTCAGGAAGCTGCTTTGGTTTCTGCCTGAACACGTCAAAAAGAAGCTGTGCTGCGTGACGCCTCTGAGACCGCCTGTAAGTAAAACAATATGCGTTTGATCCGAAAGCTACATCGGATTAAGCTCTCGTTTTTATTGTTCTGTATCGCTGAGCGAAGAGAGGGTCTGTGCATGTTGTGTGCATGATAACTTGAAAAAAACAAGTGAGATATTGACTTCCAGTTTGGGTTGCTTCTAGGCATAAGGAAGGTTCATTTCAAAAGTCAAAATCTAAGATGGCTGCCTCTATCTACATATACATACATCACATATATGTATAAAGGCCTGTCACGATAACAAATTTTGCTGGACTATTAATTCGCTCAAATTATTGCAATAAATGAGAATATTGTTTGAAATTTGACAATAATTAGTAATTATTGTCAAATTTAAGAAGAAATGTTGGTTAATTTATTTTGAGTGTAGTACCTTTTTGACCACCAGATGGCAGTATAAGACTGAACCGAAGGATGGATAGTGAGGGAGCGAGCAGCATGTCTCTAAGAAAAATGGGAGGGAGGCCCCTTGACGTGACATGGGCTGTCTCTCCTTCCTTTTTTTTCAGTTCTCAAAATGGCGGACGCTCGGTGTGGTTTGCACTCTTTAGCATAACATTTTTCACACAAAGCTTAATAAAAATTCAATAAACAAGTCCTCAGCTTCTTTTTGCAGAGAAAAACAACTTTTTACACGAAGGCACGGGTTTCAACCGTGAATTTTGGAGCTTCAACAAGACTGAGGTTTTTTCCCCGAGATCGGCCTGTTAGCTTAGCTCGTAGCTTAGCTTCACAGCTTAGCTGCTTTTAACGATCCAAAAACTGTTCTGAACGGTTAAACCTGAGAAAGGGAGGGGTCAGTGAAGAGCACCGGAGTTGAGCCTTTTGTTGTCCAGTGTCTTCAGTAGAAAGAGACACGAAGAAACGATAAAGCTGATAAATGAAAATGAGGTTGATCATTTTCATTTATCATGCGATTAATTGATTTATTGTTTATCGCGACAGGCCTTTATGTATGATGTATGTGCCTCCACCATTACACATGATGGTGGATAAAATGGCTCCCTCCACTGCAGGATCCGTCACTGCGCTGCCTCAGACAAGAAAGGTAGGTAGGTGTTTCCAGGTAGGTAAAGGTCCAGATGGGTTTGTTGGGTAAGTTGAAGGCAGGCACGTGGCCATGGTCCCTTGGACTGAGCACAGCTTGAGGACTTGGAGAACACAGGTGAGTTCCAGGCTTGGTTTCTCAGGAGGATGGTTACAACTAGAAAGACTCAAGGAAACAGATTAGTCATATACAATTCGCAGAGAGATCCCAGGGGCTGTCAACCATACCAGATGGCCCGTAATGTTCCAGTGTCGGACGAAACACTTTCACAGGTTTAAGTTCACCAGAGCATGATTGGTCTCAGCTGAGGAGGAAAACACTGGAGTTCCACAAGTGTCTTCTAAAACACTTTTTTGTTGCCTGGCCATGTTCTCTTATATTGTCTTTTGGGAGGAAATCAGCCACACGTTCATGCTTTGTCTTTTTATACAACTGTCAAAGACGAGCAAATTATGGCATAGCAACAAAAAAAGGTTAAATTGTGTCACCTGGACCAGTTTCAAGTGAGAAACGTTTTGTTTTTTTATATTATGGCATATTCTCCATTGGTAAACTTTCTCTTTTCCTGCCCGTAACGTCTGATCCACTCGAGCTCATTTAACAAAACTTCATACACGTATGCATCTTCACCAGACAGTGCCATGCACACAGTTTATCACTCCAGCTCCAAGGTCAGATGTTATCCAAGGTTGTTTCTTGTTCAGGCCGTGGCTATAGATTGCTGTATAATAGTTTGTTGACGGGTGCATAATGTACCGTATGTGGTACTGTTGTTCTAATCTGTTGGTTGTGTTGTTCTTTGTTTCTTCAAGTTGTCAGAACACCAGAGGCTGCCTCCACAACACAATAAAAGTAACGGACAGAGCTGCCAACGACACGCACCGTCACTGGAAGACACAGAGGGGGTTTCCTCTGAGGCAAACAGCCTTTTGATACAGTACGAAACAGCAGTGTGAAATCAAACTGTACCACACGAGGCTGAAAATCTTCCTCAGGGGAATCGGTGTTTTTAATAAACGCGTGTTTCCATTTCCTCTTCATGCCTCTGCTTTGTGATGAGGGATGTCTGCTTTGCAGTGTGAACCGCTGCAGCAACGTCTACGTTTTTTATTCAGTCTCCTGACATCTGAAGTTATCCAAAAATAGTTTCCAACTGGATCTGCGATTGACACATTGTAATTTTTTAATGAGTATTGTTCAATCAGCTGCTATGTTTGAATAATGTGTTTTATATTTGTAAAAGCTGCACTCTACTGTTACCTGATAATTAAGTTATGCTCAGTGAGCCATAGATCACGTATGTTTGGTTAATGCACTTGATTCTGTGTAACACTACAGAAGGAGTTTAATGGTCTAAAGGCCAGTGCCATGTTTTTAAAATTGTAAAATGAAATCATGACTGTAATAGAGCTGAAACAAAAGAAAAACATTTTTTTAATTAAAAAAACAATATTTTGAGGTGTGCTTTGTTTTGAATTCATCGGTGTTCCATTTGTTGCCACAAAGGTTTTTGTTTGAGCATCACTCAAATCTCTACTGTACAGCTTTTTCTACGTGTTGCATTACATCTACACCATTTATTGTGGTGAAGTAAAATATATTTACTCTGGTTTTAGCAATGGTTTCTGGTGGTTCTGTGTTTCTATCTGCCTTTAACACCGTAGACCATGAGATCCTCATTTGAGCAGGGAGTGTATCGCAGGGTCAGCGCTCCATCAGTTCAGGTCCTCTGATAGAAGCTTTTGCGTCAACATCAAGGATTTTGTTTTCACCTCTGTGACTTTCCGGTAGGAGGGTGCCACAAGGCTGTTTTCTTGGACCTCTTCTGTTTTAATATATGCTGCCACTAAGTGTTGCCTTTTTTTTCTTCCAATAATGGCATCCCTCGTCATTGTCTCTCACCATGGAGGAAAGAAGGGGAATTGAAAATAACCATTTTTTTTTTATCCATTCGTCCATGTTGTGAGCATGTTCACTTGAAAAACAAGTGAGGTGCAGACCTTTATTTTGGTTAGTGGCTGCATCTAGACGTAAGAAAGATCATTATCATGGGTTGTCATGTTAAACTCCAAAATGACATTGGCAAAACAGTTAAGGAAACTATGCTTTCTAGTTTCTGAATTGGTTAATATGATTTCCCTGTGAAAATGGTGTGGCTGAAGATTAATCAGTGTGGCAAAGGCCATCCCATGGCTCCTCCATTGCACCTGTTGGTGGATAAGATTGCTCCCTCCATTCGCCAGGATCTGTCGCTCTGCGCTGCCTCCAGCAAAACACAAAACAAAACCAAAAACTACCGATTTCTACACAGTGCAACTACTACCCGTTTGAATATTTTGCACTAAAAACATTAAAACATTCACAATTCAAATCCCTGAGGGACACAGGCTTGTTTTAGTACTCCACTCAAATTATTTAGTAATAAAGATCTTGCTACCAACAAAAGCAACTTAAATTTTAGCCATTTTTATCGGACATATGTTTGTGATGTGCAGAATTTATTCAACAATGTTATTTATAATGTCTGAAAATGAGTTTAGTCCTCTAAGAAGTGAAGAATGTGCTATGTATGTGTTATCAACATGAGATACAAACAAGTGGAGCAACTAGGGAATTAGTGTCTTGCTCAAGGGCATGATGGAATCAAACCTGCGAATTTCCAGTCCCATCGTGTGCACCCGGTACTTACAGGGTTTAGAAAGGAAAAGTCTTAGCAGAGACACCATTTATTAGTTTTTCGTCAAAGCCCAGCCGGCGTTCAGACTGAAAGACGGTCTTTGTATCTTTGAACCGAGTGTTGGTTGTATTTTAAACAAACAGTCTTTGTGGAGCGCAGGTGTTTGCACGGCAGAGGTGGTAAAAGGAAAAGTTTTATGCAAAACGCCTCTCAACTGTTGTTTGAAGGTTGTATACCAACATGTACTGCTATGTCTGATAACGGACATATAAAAGGGCTGATGAAGACCTGCCTGTGTGAAGATGAATAACTTTATTAATTCTCATTTGTTAATGCAGTCTGCGGTCTATCGAAGGCAGATCAACTGAATGCTTTCTTCAGATGGAAGGAACGATTTCCTGTTGCGTTCCTTTGAACAACGGGGTTGGATTAGTCTGTTGCTAAAGCTGCTTTTCAGGTTCTCCGTTGTTTTATGGAGGGGGTGGGAGGTGTTGTCCGTGCAGTTTGTCCAGCATGCTTCTCTCAACCACCTCCTACACAGTGATGAGCTTTGTGTTCTTCAGCCTTGGCATCCTCTTGTTTTGATGCCTCCACCCCACAGAAAAGAAGGTGGTGCTCGCCACAATCAACTGTTTGCAAGTGTGTTTTTAAGAAGAGACTTTCAAACTCCAAGAGTTGAAGCCTGTTTGATACGAGGAGGCAGCTGGTTCCACAGTTTAGGAGCTACAATGTAAAAGGCCAGATCACCTCTGTGGACCGGCCTGGACTGCGGGACAAACAAAAGCAACCGATCGTTAGATCTGAGGGATCTAGAGCAGTGGTTCCCAACCTTGGTCCACGAGGAACATTGTCCTGCACGCTATAGTCATTTCCCTGCTCTGACACCTGATGCATTGGTTTAATTACTTCAAGTTCTGCCAACGCCCGTTAATCATTCATTCAAATCAGATGTGTCAAAGCAGGAAAACGACTAAAACATGCAGGGTGGTGTTCCTCGAGGACCAGGGTTGGACACCACTGATCTAGAATGCACATAAAGCTGCTTGCAGGAGGTCAGACAGGAGCTTGTCCATCCCCTGAAAACATGCATGTTATCAGTGAAACTTAAAAGAAGTTTAAATTAAACATACATTCATTATCTTTTACCCGCTTCTTCCATTTTGGGTCACGGGGGTTGACGGTGCCCATGTCCAGCAATCACTGTGCGAGGGGCGGGGTACACCCTGGACGGGTCTCCAGTCCATCACAGGGACACATAGAGACAAACGAGACAAACATTCACTCTCTCACTCACACCTAGAGACAATTTAGAGTTACCAATCAGCCTAACATGCATGTTTTTGGTCTGCGAGAGGAAACCAGGGTAGCTGGAGAAAACCCACACATGCACGGAGAGAACATGCAAACTCCACCCAGAAAGGCCTCCGGACCGGGATTTGAACCGGGGACCTGTTCACTGAGAGGCAGCAGCTCTACCAGTTGTACCACCGTGCCGCTAAATTAAACATCTTGGACAAAAACATTAAAAACATGAGCTAACTCTTTTCAAGTTGTTCTCAAAACTAGACTGAACCATTCACAAAAAAACAAACGTAACATTTAATTATTTATTCATTGACTATTTAGGGGGCAGCACGGTGGTGCAACTGGTAGAGCTGCTGCCTCTCAGCGAGCAGGTCCTTGGTTCAAACCCCGGTCCGGGGGCCTTTCTGGGTGGAGTTTGCATGTTCTCTCCGTGCATGCGTGGGTTTTCGCCCGGTACTCCGGTTTCCTCCCACAGACCAAAAACATGCATGTTAGGCTGATTGATAACTCTAAATTGTCCCTAGGTGTGAGTGAGAGAGTGAATGGTTGTTTGTCTCGTTTGTCTCTATGTGTCCCTGTGATGGACTTGCGACCCGTCCAGGGTGTCCCCCGCCCCTCGCACAGTGATTGCTGGACATGGGCACCAGCGACCCCCGTGACCCAAAATGGAACAAGTGGGTAAAGAAAATGGATGGATGGATGAATATTTAGGTTAGCATATTGCCACAAGAGCTTTACAGAGATAATGTCTTATATTCCTAAAAAATATTGGGGGGGCATTTTTTTAATCAAGTATGCTAACTATGCTACAACAAGAAAAAAAAAAAGTCTTCCAGATTGTCTTTAAGAAACTTTATTGTCTAGTTCTCTATCCGATTCTTCATTTGCTATAGATTTCTTAATTTGGCCTTTTGAAAAACATTGCCCACCCCCTGGTCTAAAAGATCTGAGCCTTCTCAGGAAGTCGGCTCAGCCCTTTTTGTAGACCGCATCCGTGTTTGTGGCCCACTCCAGTTTTTTATCCAGTTTATATTTTGACACCATCTCCGTGAGGTGGCACAGTGGCGCAGTTGGTAGAGCTGATGCCTCTCAGCGAGAAGGGCACCGATTCAAATCCCAGCCAGGGACCTTTCTGGGTGTAGTTTGCATGTTGTCTCCGTGCTGCGTGGGTTTTCTCCAGTTACTCCAGTTTCCTCCCACAGACCAAAAACATGCATGTTAGGCTGATTGGTAACTCTAAATTGTCCCTAGGTGAGAGAGAGAAAGTTGTTTGTCTCTGTATGTCCCTGTGATGGACTGGAGACTTGTCCAGGTGTCCCTGTGATGGACTGGAGACTTGACCAGGTGTCCCTGTGATGAACTAACCTGCCTCTTGCACAGTGGTACCTGGACATGGGCACCAGTGCCTCCGCGACCCAAAAACAGGAAGGAGCGGGTAAAAGATAATGGATGGATGGACCATCTTGGTGATTGTTCCATTCTTGCAGACAGGAGATGTTTTGTTTTTTCCTTCAGCTGCTCCACATTCAGCTGCAGGTGGTTCTCCTCGCTCCACCTCACAAAGCAGTCCACCAGCTTTCTGTTCTCCACACACCCCACTATGGCCGTGTCGTCAGAGAGTTTCTGCGGATAACACGACTCGGTGCGGTGCCTGAAGTCTGTGGTGTAGGAGGTGAAGTGGAGCGAGGACATCATACCCTGGAGGGCCCTGACGTAGCTGATCAGGTGTTCAGACACAGCTCTGAAGTCTCACAAACTGGTCAGCTCGTCATCAATCCTTTTCATCAACGGAACGTCCACCTCCAGTTTCTCCTTCAGCAGCCTGGGCTGGATGGTGCTGAAGGCACTGGAGAAGTCGAAGAACATGATGCCTACTGAGGTGTTGGGTGTGTCCAGGAATGAGTACGCCTTCTGCAGCAAGAATATGATGGCCTTATCAATTTAAACCTTTGGCTGGTATTCAAACTGCATGAGGTCAGTGCTACTGGATGTCCTGTCTTGAGCACTGGAGCTCTGAAGGTGCAGGCTTGTGTTGAAGAGGTGCCGAAGACTCCGCAGAGCTGGCTGGCACCACCGGTCCAGAAGCCTTTCTTAGGTTGAGCCTCTTCAGCTTCATTATCACATGGCTTGTTGTGATGGAAGTGTTGATCTGCTTAGAATATTTTTATTAGTGATGGATGAATCATTTGATTAAAAAACTTTCATGTTAAAAACATTCATTTTTAGATACGCTTGGTATAAAATTTGGTGATATAATGCCATTTTCACTTGATCCTTGCATCCATCCATCATCTTCCTCTTGTTCTGAAGTCGGGTCTCAGGGAAACATCTTGAGCAGGGAGGTCCAGACATCTCTCTCCACAGCCTCTTCCAGCTCTTCTGGGAGGACTCCAAGGTGTTCCCAAACCAACCGAGAGACGTAGTCTCTCCAGCGTGTCCTGGGTCTTCCCCGGGGTCTCCTCCCAGTCCAACATGCCCGAAGCACCTCCCTAGTGAGGCGCCCAGGGAGCATCCTTACCAGATGCCCGAACCACCTCAACTGGCTCCTCTCGATGTGGAGGAGCAGCGGTTCTACTCCCGAGTCTCTCCTGATGACTGAACTTCTCATCCTATCTCTGAGGGAGAGTCCAGCTGCAAAGAGAATAAAAGTAAAACACAGTTAGAAAATGAATCAAAGCACATTTTCACAGTTTCATCAGAGGCGGACATACAGTCCGTCTGTAAACTTTGCCTTGTCCCACCCATAACTTCTGCTCTGCTAAAGATGTAGACCACCAACCAAGGTTTTCTCTTCAGTCCGTTACCAAACAAAGGTTTGATAGCAGCTGAACAACCAGATGGCGTACGATGAAATAACCTTAGGGTCTGTAGAAATGGGACCAACTCACTTACAGCAATAAAATTACAACAGAGTACAATTACTGAAAAGACAGAGCAGTCTTGAATGGATCCACCTGTGCAAAGGGAAAATATGTAAATAAGTTATTGCAACATGTAAAACATCTGGAATAGTGTTTGTCTATGAAGTGTTCTGTAACAGTTGCTTTGCCTACAGAAGAGAACCATTGGTAATCTGCAGTGAAATGAACCCTGAATTTATCTCTACCAGCTGCCCAAAGGCAAATGCAGACAATTATGTTTATGTGTGTGTGCACGCGTAACATTGTGTAGCAAATTATCTCAAACCATTGGATTAATTTAAACTCTCAAAATAAATGACTATAACTCGGTGAACATTTCAAAAATTCAAGTTGAATTTGGTGTGGTAGTGGCTGACAGTGGGGGAGGGGGATGATATAGAACTAGTGCAGCCAACCTCGGACCAGAAAGTCACGGTTTGACTCCCAGCCATTCCCACATGTCATGATGCCTCTGAGCAAGTCACTCAATCCCTAATTGCTCCCCGGGCGCCTACATAGCTGCCCACTGCTCCACCTGGTGTATCTCAGGTGTGATGGTTAAATGCAGAGAACTAATTTCATTATTATGGGAACGTACAGTGATGACAATCTCAGACTTTCCTTTTCTTAAGACTTTGACATTAACTGTTGGCGTCAACCACGGCTCATCTCTTGAACGGCTGGATGGAACATCCTGATGCATGCTCAATAATCCAGGTAGAAAAATCTAACAAAGTTAAGTCAGGTGGATGGAACCGTTGGATGTAGCTCTGCAACTGATTACTTTTAGAGCAAACCTAATTCAAGATGGCTGCCATGGCCAACTGACCTTAGAAAACACCAAAATGACTCAGTCAGTCACTTTCTGACAGTTGTCTGTCAGCACTCCATCCATCCATCCATCCATCCATCCATCCATCCATCCATCCATCCATCCATCCATCCATCTATCCATCCATCTATCCATCTATCCATCTATCCATCCATCCATCCATCCATCATCTAATCTTTTTCCTCTTTTGGCTGCTCCTTCTTCAAGGGTCGCCACAATGACTTAACTCACACAAAGACTTTGCGATTGTTTTTACTCCAGATGTCCTTCCTGACACAATCACAGACACCGAGCTACCACAGCCCTCAGTGTGGAGCAGAGAGCTGCATCTAGGGCACCTGGGGGAGCAGATGGTGGGGGTTAAGTGTCTTGCTCAATGGCCCAGAGTGGGACAAATGAGAGTGGAGACAGGTGAGGGTGTTGCACCTTTGCTACAGATATTTTGACGTAGGTATGGGGGAGTAGAACCAGCGACCTTCCAATTACAGGCCCACATTCTCTAACCTCAGTGCCACCATTCCCCATTCTGTCAGCACTA